TTCACTGACTCTTTCTGGGTCTGTATCTAAAATGACGTATTTTCTTATGCGAATGATGCTGCCTTGTCATACATTACGCACATAGATTTCGAGTTTCCCCTTCTCCAACGCCCAACACAGGTTTGTGTAATGATACCTAATCTGTTTAGCGTGCACGAACACATCTTCCACACGCACACATTTACGCAGTCGGAAGGTCACTTCGACGTTCTGTAATGATTAGCAAGCTTGCCTCGCTACATCTATTACGACTGAATAGTGAGTCCGATTCTTACTGGGTGCTCTACACTTTCGGCCCTGTGCCACATCTAAGCTAGGCCAAGAAAATAATTTGGTCACCACTACGTGGTGCAATGGTTAGCAAGCTTGTCTCGCTAGAATAGTTGCGAGTGAGTCGTGAGTTCGATCCTCACTGGATGCCCCCATACTTTCGGCCTTTAGCCACATGTTAGCTAGGCTTAGAAAATCACCATATACACAGTCGGAATATTTCGCCATATACAATGAACGACGTCTTCTTAATTAAGACTACGTCAAAAATGGATTTAAATTTTCAAAAGTACTACATTGATAAACAGGGTGGTTTTCTAAGATCGGTTAGTAATATTCCTTCTTATATATATATATATATATATATATATATATATATATATGATGGACTTTCCCATCGAGTTCGATGTATGAGACCAGCTCAAGAATTGCACAAAAGACCACAAAGAGTACAGGAGAATGTATTGTATCGAAGTGCAGCAAGAACATTGTTAGGTGTCTTATTTTGCATTCTCGTTTTATGTAGTCGACTGATGCTTACTTCTCAGTGCAGCTATATCAATGTTGTAATTTGCGACCAAAGATGTTTTTCTTTCTCGTGCTGAGTTGTTGTCCTGGAGAGTTCGTACATTCCAAGTTCCAAGATGAAGTTAATGTAGTTTCGTTGAGTTTTTCGAAGTAGCCGGATATGTGTAGAACTAATTAGATCTAGTAAAGTACCAGGCTGGAAACTGGCGCGGGCTAGCTGCCCTTGATGAGGATGAAAAGAGTCTCTCTGAGCTTTGGTTAGCAATCGTTTTAGTGTTGGTTTCACGATAAAAAGACTTCAGATGGGAAGGAAATCTCATGACAGCTTAACCTGGTCATTATACTGAATGTATGTGCCGAGAGACGTGTACTGGCTGATATTGACTGTGATCCGGAGAGATTAAACTCCGCGATAATAACACATGAGGACTGTCGTTCGGAGTTTCCGCGTCAAATCTTTTGCACCGTAACATTTTTATCGACGGATCCAGGAAGTGTGGGTGGTCCGATACAAGTCTTCACCACTTGAAAGAAAACATTACATACATACATACATACATACATACATGCATACATATATATGTATATCATCTTCAAGAAGCGAGAGCATGATCTAAAAGGTCAGCCAATCTAACAGTGATCTCATCTCACAATCCTCCTTTGTAAATCACTAGCGGGTCTTAAATGCCACTTAAGATTATCGCATAAACTTTCATAACTGAATCAATAAGCTGGCAGATCCTCATACGTCGAAACCAACGGGAGAGTCCATTATATATATATATATATATATATATATATATATATATATATATATAATCCGTTTATACACTATTTTTATAGATACAACTTATTTGAGTAAATGCTATGTTTGTTTGTTTTAATTAAATAATATTAACTACATTTGTCGTCGTGAATGTTAACAGCACATCAGAACAAATGACGATTTCCGTATGGGATACGCCATCTTTCCTCCATACTTGATTTCTAGAATTACATCCAAACAACTCAATTTTTGTTTCGTCTTCATCACTCTTTCGCAATACGATATTTGCTTATCATTAGGTTCACGAACGAATTTCAAACTGGCATCTCTGTCTTTTCAAAAGCAGTGGAGTTTTCCGTGGAGAGCGTGGCTTTTACATTGTTCCTGTGAATGTCATTGCTCATTGCCCGTTTAGTGACACAGATTCCTGATGAAAGCAAAGCATCTTTCAAATCTTGACGATTAACCATTGGATTTTGTTTAATTTGACGCATTAATTTCTTCGAAGATCCTGAAGAAATCACCCGTATCGCACCTGCTCTTCTTTGGTTTTCAACAGCTTTGAGTTTTTATACCTTGCAATGAATGAACTAATGATAGTAAAATAAATATTCAGGTTGTCTGAGATTTTCCAGTAAATTTTACCTTATTTCCAGATCTTCCAGTTCCTTTTGCGGATTTGTCAAGTCTTCACCTCTTTTAAAATCTGAAATTTGCCTTGAATGAATACTTTACTCATCAATTAAAATGGATAAATGGGATTTAAATCATGTTTCCTGTTTTCGATGCATAGTTGTTATTATGCATTTGTGTACTGCTACCTATTTGAAAAGTATGTTTACTCATGACTTGAAAATACAATAAATTCAAAATTTGTATGTGTTTCCCACCACTGCATATATATTACTGTGTAGCGAAAAAAACACATTTCAAATCAATTAATTTATAATATATATATATATATATATATATATAATATGAATGTGGATGATAATAAAATAGTACTCTATGTAATATAACAATGCTATAAATTATATATTAATAAATATTTTCTTAATTCACTAGTAGCACGACTCAGAATTTCATGCAGTACGCACTCATCAGATGCTGAATTCTGTCTCAATTCAGCACCAGAATTTTGCATTCTGCTAGCAAGGGTGTAATATATATCTATATCTATATATATATATATATATATATATATATATATATATATATATATATATATATATAATATAAAATCACAAATAAGACAAAAGAACAGATGGAGTAAGAATCGATAGTTCTTAGCATTTACTTTTTTTTTTTTTTAAAAATGTTCAATACAAAGAAGAGCAAAATATTATTATGTTTTTATTGAAATCTATTATAATAAAATATAAAAATGTGATATATATATATATATATATATATATATATATATATATATATATATACCGCCGTTCGTAGCCTTTACTTTTTTAAAAAAGTGCTCAATGCAAAGTAGAGCAATATATTATTACACGTTGAAATCACTATACAATAGCTTTCTTTTAATAGATTTTTTTTTAAATATACAAGTCTATTTTTAATTATGACCATCTGTTTTCTTACTCCCCCCCTTCCACACTTTATCTTTCGGAAAAGACGTAACATTTTGTTTTTGAAATTTGTTAAAATTATTTAATCACCAGTCTGTTACCATTCGCCTGAAGAGATACAACCGAAACACGAAAGCTATAGCTCTCTCTCTCTCTCTCTCTCTCTCTCTCTATATATATATATATATATATATATATATATATATATATATACCCTGTGTAACAGAAAAATTGTCCAAAGCGTGTATCAGTAAAAATGTCCAGTCAGTTGTTAGATTAGGTTTGAAACGGTGTATCTTAGAAATGATTAAAGATATGTTACTGGAATTCTGCGTGGTTTTTATAACACTATTGGGCTCTAATTTAGAATAAGAATTTATTTAGCTCTCAGTTGATCCCTCTTGCTGTTGTGACCTCCTGATCCAGTTTTTGTTTCTACCGTCTCCACTATTTTAAACTTATTCACCGCTCCCTTGATGGTTCTTGAGTGGACTTTTAAGATGGAAGCCAGAGTATGAATGTTGATGCCATTACTGAAGGCCCTTTTCCTTTTCTTTTTTGCTCAGTTGGGAAGATATAGTGGGTTAGACACAGAACGATTTTAACCTTTTCTCTTTCTAGCTGAATGACTTTTCGCTGATTGTTACTTTAAATGACGTCAGGGTGGCTAAACGTCTTATCTGAAAACCCGGGGAAAAGAAACTCAATTCGTTTACTGTTTTTTTTTTTTTTTAGATAACCTTTTTGTGTTATGGACAATTATCGAAAGCTGTTTCACGATTTGGACAATTTTACTGTTACATCACGTATATAAATACATATATGAAGAAAAATATGGAAAAAAAAAATCCGAATATGCAAGTATGCTGTTTTAATTTTGTTTCAATGTCGACGTCAGACGTTTCGGTCTAGTAGACCTTCTTCAGAACATAGTTATTAAAACATAATTAAAATAACTATGTCCTGAAGAAGGTCTACTAGACCGAAACGTCTGACGTCGACGTTGAAACAACATTAAAACAGCATACTTGCATATGCGGATTTTTGTTTTACCATATTTGTCTTCATACTGTCGGATCTATATCCACATACTTGCTTACATATACACATTTATATATGTATATGTATATATATATATATATATATATATATATATATATATATGTGTGTGTGTGTGTGTGTGTGTTTGCTTGTGTGTATATATACATAATTTAGTCAATGTTTGAATAGGCCTAAATCAGGTGAAACTTAAGTAGCTCTGAACTAGGTATGTGTGTGTGCGTGTGTGCGTGTGCCTGTGTGTGTTTGTGCGTATATATGCATAAATTAATCAATATGTGAATAGCCCTAAATCAGGTGAAACTTAAGTAGCTGTGAACTAGGCATGTGTGTGTGTGCATGTGTATGTATGTTTGTGTATATATATATATATATATATATATATATATATATATATATATATATATATATATATATAATCTAGTCAATGTGTAAATAGCCCTAAATCAGGTGAAACTTATGTAACTCTAAACTAGACATGTGTGTGTGCGTTTGTGTGCGTGTGCGTTTGTGTGTGTGTGTGCGTTTGTGTGTGTGTTTACGTGTTTTGTATATACTCTCCCTATATATTATATTATAATTGTACAAAATTATATATTTTTCTAATTCGGAATTTTGAAAAACTACATCCAGGGGCAATCTAGTCTTTTGAGCATGCTGCTGTTAACTTGGTACTGGTGCGATATCTTACAGAAGATCTTATCATTTTATAACTTTCCGTGCTGCTGCTATCTTTCAACATAGGAATCTGTACGTGAATTTCAGTCGTCTGTTTCCTTGATGGAAATCTAGCTGCCCTAAAGATAAATAAATAGATAGGAAAAGACAAGTAGAGATAGATAGATAGATAGATAGATAGATAGATAGATAGATATGAACAAACTTAGATATGTATAAATTTAGAAAGATAGATATGAACAAAAATCGATAGACAGATAAATATATATAAACAAAGTTCGATAGATAGATATGAACAAAGAGAGAGAGATGGATATGAACAAAGTTATGAACAAACTTAGATAAATAGATAGATTGATAGATAGATAGATATGAACAAAATGGATGTACAGATGAATATATATGAACAAAGTTCGATAGATAGATAGATAGACAGAGATAGATATGAATATAGATCGATAGATATGAACGAAGATCGATAGACAGATAAATATATATGAACACAGTTCGATAGATAGATATAAACAAAGATAGAGAGATAGATATGAACAAAGATATGAACAAACTTAGATAGATAGATAGATAGATAGATAGATAGATAGATAGATAGATAGATAGATATGAACAAAGATCGATACACAGATAAATATATATGAACAAAGTTCGATAGATAGGTATGAACAAAGATAGAGACATAGATATGAACAATGTTATGAACAAACTTACATAGATAGATAGATAGATAGATAGATATGAAACAAACTTAGATATGAACAAATTTAGATAGATATGAACAAAGAGAGATAGATAGATAGATAGATAGATAGATAGATAGATAGATAGATAGATAGGGACTGGGATAGATAGATAGATAGATAGATAGATAGATAGATAGATAGATAGATATGAACAAAAATGGATAGACAGATGAATATATATGAACAAAGTTCGATAGATAGATAGATAGATAGATAGATAGATAGATATGAATATAGATCGATAGATAGGATCAAAGATCGATAGAGATAAATATATATGAACAAAGTTCGATTGATAGATATGAACAAAGATATAGAGATAGATATGAAGAATGTTATGAACAAACTTAGATAGATAGATAGATAGATAGATAGATAGATAGATAGATAGATAGATAGATATGAACAAAGATTGATAGACACATAAATATATATGAACAAAGTTCGATCGATAGATAGATTTCTTAGTACTGAACTTGTCATAGTCAAATAGTTATTGATCCTTAATTATTATCTATTTTGGTTTATCTCTGTTTTCTTTTCCGTTTTATCTTTTTTTTAGTTTTGACCTCTCAAAATAAAAGTTATACACACACACACACACAGACATATGTAGATAGATAGATAGATAGATAGATAGATAGATAGATAGATAGATAGATAATAGATAAAGAACAGAAGGAGATAGATAGATAGATAGATAGATAGATAGATAGATAGATAGATAGATAGATAGATAGATAGGTTAATAGCTGGCTCACAAAATAAGAATTTATATATATATATATATATATATATATATATATATATATATATATATATCCTTGGACACGTTTTTAATCTTACTTTTTGTCTCACCAGAAATGTCTGGGGAGTGCACCAGTTTATTCACCGATAACCTAACGATGTGGTAGGTAGCACTACTACTCAT